GGTCAGATGGCTTGCGCACTGTATCAGGACGGGGCCATGGTGTGATGATAGTGGTATCTGTTGAGGCGCCACTCACATGCCTCTCGGTTGACGAGGGCTCGGAAGGGCGATAAGCTGGTGTTTCATCAGGTAGATGGATCTGTCGTGTTACACCATGCAGCGGACTCTTCGGCTCCTCCTTCGACGCCATTCTGGATATGCCTCGAGACAGCGAGCGGCGGATGCTATCTGAGTACCGTCTGATTGGGCTCTCGCTGCCATCCTGGTCTTGTCTGCTGCGGTCCTTATCGGGAGAGCTGCTCTTTCCTGAGCTTCGGCTACCGTCACGCTTTATCACCTGGGGCTGGAAGGCCCTCGCTTCGCCCGTCTTCTCTGCGGCCTTCCTGCGTTCTGCTCGGGCTCGCTGTTCATTCAACCACTCCTCCATCTTATGTTTGAACTTGGGCCGTTCAACCAAACCGCCATACTGAGGGTACACATCGCGAAGCTCCTTCTCGGCCTCGTCGTACTGCTTTCGCGTGAACACTCCAGCACCACCAACACGTTTGTGGAATGTTGCGCCTTCATCACTGACGGCCTTCTTCGGCAAGGAGATTATGCGGTACGGCGTGGGCGACATCAGGCTTCCTCCAGGTACCAAGACGTTGTCCTTGGGAAAAGCGAGACCAGATGGGCACCGCTCTTCGATGTAAAGCGCGAGGCGACCGTAGTGTCGTCGGCCTTTGACACTGTAGGAAGCGCGAACAGCATTGACGATCGGCACAAAGACTATTTCCCAGGCTGTGCAGATGTTGCGGAGCTCGAAGTAGTCAATGTTCCACGGATTGCGCGACTTGCCGACCTTGAATACCTGCAGCAACCAGGCGAAGAGGTGTTTCTCGTACGCCTCCACAGTCCAATCACTCTTGTCGATTACTCCATGCACGCTGGAGTCCGATGTGTACTCCGCGCTGTGCTTGTCGGCGCGTGGGTCATAACGGTGTACACCTTCGTCGAATCGTGTATAAAACCACAACAGGTCTGTGCGAGACACACCGTCCTCTCCCTCCTCTCTGGCTATCGCCGTTGCACGTGGTACCGCCTCCGGTTGACGCAAGAATATCGAATCGCGGAACACAGCCCATGGCTCTAGGAACGCAGCGGTCGCGAGGAAGCGCTCTTCGAGACTGTCCAAGTTGGGTAATTGCAGTAGCGACAGTGCGTGTTTGAGCTCAGGAGGGATCTTTTCCTTTTCGCTGCGCGTGAAGAAGTCGCGCATGTTCTTGAGTCCTGAATTGGTAGGAGAGTGCGCCATCTTGGCTGAGTCGTGGGCGCAACGATTGCGGCTTTGATTTGTGGGGAAGGTTTGGGCTGTTGTTGTTGAGTGGCAGGCCACAATATCGCTAGCGCTGTTCCTTTTTTGCGTCTCAGTGAATGCAGATCTATCCAGGCGGCAAGATTATAACATCTGGCTCGGGATCGCAAGGCAGCGGTCTCACCTTCACTAGGACCCCCGAAAGTCCGCCGCCATACGCTCCGCATCTGTCGGAACTGGAGGCCAACGAACCTTGCGAGTGGTAAGATGCATTCGGTCGTGTAGCAGTGATGCCAATATCGCGACTACGGGCTAGCATTCACTTCCACAGTTGCTGCATCGACGGCGACCCCAAGCCCCGTTGTTGCGCCAAGCCGAGCTAGCCGGTCATACCTTCCATCATTATAAGCTGCGAATCTCTGGTATCCTCTTCTCTTATCTGATACTTCTGGAACTCGGACTCACTGAAAGCAGCACCCCGACAATCACAGCCATGCTCTGCAGTATTCCCGTGGTCTCCTTCCTGGTTTGCGGCGCGCTCGCTGCGGTAGTCCCCAAGCTGGACCAGTTTTCGAGCCTGCCAGATCAATCTTGCATCATTCCACCCATTACTGATGAGCAAGTCGAAGCTCAACTGGCCGCTCATGCTACGGATATCACGGATACCGCAGATACCACAAACGGTCAGGATTTAACCCAGTATGGCGGTGCTTCACTGTTCAACTATATCAATTGGGGCGGTCCACAGAAATGGACCGACATCGTTTCCCCAGGTAGATCATTGGTTGCTTACTGCTTCTATTCTGAGACGGACCGTGCCAGGCTACTTGAGCGCGTCGAAGCAGCTGTAGCCCTCTGGAAAGCTGCTCTAGGCGGAGAGCGTGGTAGAGACAACGGGCATGATCTTCAATTCAACGAATGGTATGACTACAAGGCGTCCAAGCATCACTTGTGCTATGATCCGAACCCCGAAAACAAACAACAGTGGAACCCTTCGTTGCCGACTACAACGTTGGTGATCAGTCTGTCAGAGAAGATGACCAACGGAGCTTACGCGACTATGGGGGCTGGCAGCGCGGCTGATAGAGGCAAACCCTGGAAACTCCGCTTGTCAATCGGCCCAGAGACGGCTGCCCTGGTCGTCGCGCACGAGATTGGTCACGTGCTCGGTATGTCTCAAACAAACAAATATCATGATCATTACTGACAGTTCAAGGCATGGGTCACGAACACCAGCGCACAGACCGCGACAAACACGTTGAGTTCGATTGCAAAAAGTTGAAAGGCTACTCGGACGCGCTCGCTCGGGCCCGAAAGGCTCTCCCGCAATTCAAGGACCACCAGCTATGTCTGTTCGCAGACTACTCCAAGAAGTTTCAGTTCCCCGCTGTCCACTATACCATGTCCGTGGCTTATGGTAGCCCTGCCCAGTACTGGTGGATGAAAGCTGATACCGAGTACGACGTGGACTCTATTATGTCGTATAGCAGCTTCCAGCATGCCAACGAAAAGTGCGCCGAGGGAGACCACCCGGAAGAATGCCCATTGAGGAGGTGGAAGGTGCCTGGAGATAAATCGCAAGGAATAGCGTACATCGAAGATGCTGAAAAGCCGAGTCCAGGCGACGTCCGCTGGGTCCGCACCAATTACCCATACCAAGGACCCCATATCGACTCAGTCGAGAATGCGGGCATACAAGATGAGAATGAGGAAGCCTCAGATGAAGACTTTGATCGAAATCCATACATCGAGCGAGGTAAGGTGACTGGCGAAGATCCCAAGGTTCTAAGGATGTTGGATCGTCAACGGGCGAAGCTGGTATAGGAAGAGAAGGCTGCCAGAGATGTTGCCAGTGCTGCTATTTGATGCAGTTGCTCAAATAGTCCGAAAAAATCCGGGGCGCCACAAAGGCCGTGCATTCGAGGCTTGAGCGTCCGGCGAGTGTTTTCCAGTAGCAATGCTCTTTCACCAGAATGAGCCTTGTGACTCAAATGCGTAATTGGCCGATGCGCGTTGCAGTCGGATTGCCCCTTGTGATCACGAGTACATTATGGCATCTGCACTTATCTTAAATACTCCCTTACACTCCCTATTCCCAACATTCCTTTGCTCTTATCAACTGTTTCTAGTTTCATCATGAGATACCTCCCGGTCTTTGCGGCGGCTGCCATTCAGGCGATAGCGGCGTCTATTCCCCCAATATCCCCTATCTTCTCAGGTCCATGCGCTATCCTACCTCCGTCTAACGACACCGAAACTCCAACCTATGATGGGATGCAATCTGGCGCTACATCTCTCTGGGGTCACGAAGGCAGTGGAGGCCCCAAGAAGTGGACGGAGCTCTACATCAAGGGCATTACGTTGATACCGTACTGCTTTCCGACAGAAGAACATCGCAAAGCAAATGTTGAGAAACTAGAAGCAGCTATCAGAGTGTGGATGACAGCTCTCGGCGGCGGACCGTCGCCGGGTACAAACCACAAGATCATCTTCTCGGAGTATGTTGACTTCTCACAGAACCCAAGGTACTGCATAGATGTCAACAGTCCAGCTGAGAGTAAATGGAATATGGCTGTACCATACAAGACAGTCGCCATCTGGAAGGACGATGGCGTGGGCAAAGCCGCGGCCGCATCCACTGTGGGCATGGGTGATACGCCGGGAAAGCCTTGGGATCTGAACATGTGGATAGACGTAGAGGCCAGTGTCACAACTGTAGCACACGAACTTGGACATGTCATGGGTACGTTGGACATTACCCGCGATCTCGAATGTTACAAGATTGACAAACCAAAGGAATGATGCACGAGCAACAACGTTCAGATCGTGATAGATACATCCATTACGACTGCACAAAGCTCACCGACTACCGCGCCGCCCTCGCACGCGCGCGTGAATCCGACCCCAGCACGACGACCGACGAGCTATGCAATGACGTTACTATCGCTGACAGGTACAACTTCAGCGGCCGCTCCTATACTGATACTGTTCTGTACGGGAAATCGGAGGATGGCTGGACACTGAACCCCGATTCACCGTACGATGCGGATAGCATCATGCACTACCACAGTTACATCATGGGTAATGAGAATTGTCTAAATGGCAACCAGGCGGAGTGCCCAGTAGCGCGTTACAGGGACAGTACGAATCATGACCTCGGATATGAGATGATTCCTATGTGGTCCAGGCCGAGTTCGTGGGATGTGGCGTGGGTCAAGACGCAGTATGGGTGGAGGTACAGTGGCGCCGATGAAGGCGCGCAAGATGGCGGGGAGATTAGTGAGGCTCGGTCAAAGGAGCTGATTGAGGAGGGACGAGAGCGATATGTTCAGAGCCAGGTGTAGTGCATTTCTCAGCTGTGCTTGCATATAACACTCTACTCAAATTTGATGCCTATATGTAAGCGCTAGACCAGCCGGGTTACGGCGACGATATCTAGGTACTAGGATCTCAGGGATATGTGACTCGTGGATGTTACAAAGCTCACAGCAGTCGACTGACATCCCTCACCTTGTTACCAAGCGCGTTGAGCAAGAGACTCGTTGGTCGTCCTAACCACTCTCACCTTCACCTCGCTTCTAGTCTTTTCAAACAACTTCAAACGTCCTCCTCATTCCTCGCTTTGGGTTTTAACTTTAACGCCCGATTGTGCCGTCATAATAAGATGAATGAATCCCGGCAATCTCAATCCTCTCTATCGCGCAGGATGGACGACTCTAGCATCGTTTCGGAACTGCAGACTAAATCACCCTCTCTACAGTCTATTACAATGGAGAGCAACGAAGCAACTTTACAAGGTGAGCATGAGCCAATCTGTTTTCATGAGGGCGACTAACGCATTCATAGGCTCACTGAAGAGGCGCAGACTCAGCAAAGACGAAGACATCATAGCAGCAATGCGAGACCGTCATCAACAAGAAGAAGCGCAGCTGCGTCGACTGAACGATGAGATTTTGATGCTCAGACGTGATGCGACATCTACAACACAGTTCAATCGTATGATCGCCGAGCAAGCAGAAGTGGCAAAGGCTCTCAGATGCGAAGTTGAACAGCTGAAGCAGGTGAACGAGGACAGGAAGAGATCTTCTCAGAGCTTCAAGAATATGTTCGAAAGGAGTCAGAGCAGCGTAAGAAATTGGAAGGCACGGGCTGAAAGGGCAGAGAGCGAGGTGAAGGAAGAACGGACTGAGAGGTTTGAGGCGGAAGCAAAATTGGAAAGATACCTTGAGGCACAGAAGTCTATGACAAAGGAATTCGGAGGTTGAGCGGGCTAAATACACAGCCTACGCTAGAGGGTACTCGGGCTCGGCAGCAAAGTTGGGATTCCTTGCAAGTCTCCAGTCGAAGTTACACAGAGCATCGCTAGTTATGCGAGCCCGCACATATGTCAAGGCGTAAGGGCACGTGCCCCAAATTTACGGTGAATATTGGAGAAAAGGCCTTTCCTTGGTTCCTCGTGAAGAATGAACGGTGAATGCACTAGTGGATCGGAGAGCAACCTTCCAGTGTTGACATAACCATATTGCTGGCAATCACGACACCAACACACGCAACTTTCGTCAACCACAAGTATGGATCTCGACGCCATCACCGCCGCGATGACAGCAGTCAGCGTCCCCACCGAGGGTGCGCCTATTGATACCAGTGGCAGCAACAGTGAGCCAGATGGTAGAGCACAGGGTACTTCAGCTATCGATTTGATCGACCGTACCATGGAAGTACCCAATATCACTGGCAATTATCCTAAGACCCTCGTTCTCGACATTGGCGGCCGCAAGTTCAAGGTCTCGCGCGATACCCTGCAGGCAGAGTCAGGCCTTTTCCGACACCAACTCTCCGGCCGCTTCTCTTGGGAGCCTGAGATGGACGGCTCGTACTTTCTTGATGCCGACCCCGATCTCTTCGAGCACCTATTGCGCTTTATGCGCCGCCCCGAGGTACTACCGCTATTTTATGATGCGGCTAAAGGATTTGACTATAATCTGTACAATCGTCTGGAGGCCGAGTCGCAGTACTTCCAGATCAACGTGTTGCATGAGTGGATCAAGAACAAGGTATGTCGCATTCACTGCGTAGATGCATTCCGCGCTAACATATGTGTAGAAATACCTCAACGCTATCAGAGTCCAAACCTACGACGCGAACATCCGAGCCATCGGCGCGATTGGCCCAGAATACTTTCCCGCGAACAAGACCGAGGACTGGTATATCATTCAAAAGAATCAGAAGGTATATCTTTGTCCTCGCCATATCCCAGCTCACAGAGGGCGTCCGGAGTTGTGTGGCATGGCATGTCATAAGAAGCAAGCGGAGCACGCGTTGGAGTATGAGGAGGAGTCTTATCTGGAGGTGGTAAGCGTACAGAAGGAGACTGTGTTCGACGCGAAAGTCTGCACGGTGGGGTGAACCTAAAACTGACCTAGCGACTGTATGCGCAGTGAACGTATCATAGTCGAAAGGGAGGGACAAAGACACCGAGGACGTCATGATTTCATGGACATTGTATCTTACAAAAGCTGAGGTACATTCTCAGGTGGTTTGGGCGCAATAACCTTTCTCTGTTCAGCAATGCTTCTATAGCGGTAATTGATCTAGTGATGTTAGAATCCGGAGATGGTGTATCCTCCGCATCGTGATGAGTTATCATACCACAGTCTGCAGACAGATTCTGAAGACTTCTCGGTCGATGCGGTGAACAGATAGATGGAAGCATAAGTAAGTCGGGCCGGAGGCGCGCGGAAGGTAGATGGACCGGAGCCCTACAGTCTGGGTGCTGGCAAGTAGGTACCTGTTTGCGCGCATATCCGAGACGCCATTTCTCGAAGACGGGACGTCCCGACCGACGGAACGAATTTGATGGGCTGTGCGCTGAAGCTACTCCATCACAGGTAAAAATTCAGCTTCTTCGCAAACATGTGATCTGCCCGCTGCCACCCTGAGGGTCTGGATGATTAGAAAGGCAGCATGCATCCGCTCCACTAAGCTAATTATAGTAGCTAATGTCCGCTTCTCCCCGGATCACGCAAAAGCGAACGGAAGGCATCTCTAAGAAGTCCCATACCGAGATTGAGACCAACTCTACATCTCGTCTGCGCGACTGGAGCCAATGCCGCGACCTGTTGGCATGAAAGCGCGTTCTCCAAACTGAAAGCGGATGCATGCTGCCGACCTGACTGCGCAAACCCTTTCAAGAATCATCTGTACTCCTTTGACACCACTTGGGACCCATTCGTTCTATTTATCCTCTTTTTTACTTGACCATGTATCCACATACCATTATCTCGGGTTTGCTGTTGGGAACATTGTCCTTAAAAACTTCGGCACAAGTTGGCGCGTCAACCGACGACTGCGCTGGTGTCAATGGCATCAGCCCAAAATGCAGCAGCCAAGAATCTGCATACCAGCGAGACTTCTTCTATATCGGTGGCGGCTACGTCGACTCCGGCATTCCGGGCCAACAGATGTGGAGCGACCAGCTGTATGTCGAGAAGCTGACGCCCGCCAGCAAGGTCAACAAGCCTTACCCGATGGTCTTCGTCTCCGCAGGTGTCAACACGGGCGCAGAATGGCTGAATACGCCAGACAATCGGAAGGGATGGGCTTCCTACTACCTTGATCAAGGCTACCAGGTCTACATTGTTGATATCGCTGCCAACGGCCGAAGTGGCCAGCAGCTCCTCTCCAAGTACCCTTTACGCCTTGGATCTACAGACACCATCAATGAGCAGGGTTTCACAGCTCCGGAAAACTTCGACCAGTACCCACAAGCAAACTTGCATACACAGTGGCCTGGAAATGGATCTCGTGGAGATGCAGCTTTTGATGCCTTCACTGCAGCCAACGTTCCCATCTCTTCATCGAACGTGAACGTGGAAAACGCCATGCGCACATCTGGCTGTCAGCTTCTCAGCATGATCGGCCAGTCATACACAATCTGCCACTCAGCCGGCTGTACATACACGGCTATCTGGTCGGACGCATGCCCTGATCTGCTGCGCGCCAACATCAACATCGAGCCTGGCAACATCCCACACACTTCCCTGATCGGGAACACGACTGTTGCTGGGGTCGGCCGTACTGCCGCGCGGCCTTGTGGCCTCACATACACACCGCTGCAATTCGATCCGCCAGTAACGAACTGCTCGACCATTGCTACAACTGAGGTCGGCCCAGATGACCCTGCCAAGCGCTCCTGCATTCTGCAGACTGGCACCGTTCACAAGCTGACCCAACTCGGCAAAGTGCCCTACATCATGATCACAGGTGAGGCCAGCCCGCACATCACGTATGACCACTGCTTCATCGAGTACTTCAAGCAGATGGGCCTCACCAACTACCAGTGGATCAAGCTTGCCGACATTGATATCAAGGGCAATGGGCACTTCATGTTTCTGGAGAAGAACAACCAGGATATCGCCGCGGCGATCAACTATGGTCTCGGACAAATGAATGAAAGCCCAGTTGCTCCGGGTCATCCCGGCCTTCCTATCTCTATGAGATGAGGGAGGGAGCTGGCGATGACTGCTAATGGCGAATCTGATGTATATATTTTGAAGGTCGGCTGCAAAATAGAACTAGCATGCTGCGGTTTTGGCTTCGTGTCACTTCCGAATCGAGTGTCGAGAAACTTTATCCCTCCAGGCCAATGCTTGCGTGCTGGACTGGTTGAAGACATGCTTACGGCGTGTTGCTAATGCTAACGCTTGCTGTCCTTTTATTTAGATAGAGAGCGGGAACGACCCAAGCAACACCCTATCAAGGACCCACGGGCCTTGATAAAGTTCATCGTATTTACAAGCGCTGTCGCTAGTCCCCTCTTAACTCTGATCCGAGCGTGTGTTTGCGTCACTTCAGCGTTGACTTTCTGCTTTGGCGAGTGTTCAAGCTCATCATCTGCCGTGATTTCCTTCCATGTATCCGCGCGACTCGGCCTTCGGGGGTGGCATTACTGCAATCCCTATGATGTCTTAACAGGACGTTGTTCTTGTCACCATGGTGCGTGACCCTGTCCAGGGCTCGTAGGCACTCATTTAGCAGAGACCAATGAGTAATCTTGCTGGACCTTTACGGAGTTCCTGCAGCAACAGAGGGGGCGTTTTGTCGGGCGTTGGCCAAAGCCTGGCGCATCAATCATGTTGGTCTCTTCGATAATGCGCGGTATTCCATGGCTAGCTCACGTCTTGTTGAAAGTTTTGGGCGCTTGCTGACAAGCGCCTGTCTTGCGCACGGTAGGCAACCGAATCGATAAGGCACGACTGCCTGCATGGCCATGGTTGGACGAGTTGTGCAATCGGATATTTGTCCGTATGTGCATAATACTGCAAAAGGTCTTCTGCGGTAATCTGGGAAGATCAATACGTCCCGTCCATACTCATGCTCGACTGTAGTGAGGGTGACATTGAAACGTCCGGACTCAAGGACGGGTAGGTAGAGGGGGCAGACATGGAGCGGTCGTGCCACTCCTCGTGCTCCTCTTCTGGCGAGGAAAGCTCAAGCAACTTCTGCGGCGACCCAGCGGAGAGTCCAAGCATAGTGAGCTTCTCTTGCAGTATGCTGATGACAGCAGGGTTGCCACCACGAAAGGAGGCTAGGACTTGCGCTAGCGAATGAATCAGATCTCTAGGTCCAACGTCGAAGTGCGATTCGTGGTTGAGAGAAGGCATAATCATCATGACGTCTGCAAGCGAGTTGGCGACATCGAAAAGCTTCGACTCCTGTGTACATGTTAGTGAGACTCTACTTTTCTAGCGAAATACTCCATACCATGCCGGGTCCATGCGCCTCGATGCTCTGGCGGGAGAGGCTACTCAGATTACTGAGGACGTTTTGAGCGACTTTGGCGGGAAAGCGAAATGAGAACTCCTCATCCTGGCTGGCGCGACTGCTCAGATTCGTTACATTGAGTGCGTGCTGCCACAAGAAGATGCGCATCCATTGCTGCGTCATTGTGATGTCTGCGCGCTGGAGCTCGTTTTCGAGGCTGCGGGGGTCCTCATCACTGCTAAGCTGTTGCTGAGCTAATGCGAGGGCATGGCGCGCAGCTGCTGGTTCGGCGGTTATAGTGACATCCAAAATGTTGAACAACCGGCAAAGTTGAACAAAGGCAGGTGTAACCGATCCATCGTGCAGGTCCTCCAATCGAGGGAGATTAGGGGCGCGCTTGAGTGTTGTTGGCACGTCGTGTTGCAGAGAATGTGCTCGCTCCGTGATGAAGAGGAGCCAGTATACTCTCAACGCATATTGCGTTTGCTCCGCGGTCATGTGTTCGTAGTGGTTCGCCTTGTGCAATCCTATGATGTGTGCTTTGAAGATGGCCTCTCCAAGCAACACTGTGGAAGCATTCATCCTCCCAACGTTTGCTGAGTAGACATGTAGGAAGAAGCTGCTCAGCAAAGAGAACACAGTGACGTTCTCCAGATGATCGCATTCGTTTCTTGCCTTTTTTGCTTCCATCTCAAATGTGCCACTCGGGACGCGGTAGTGGCCCTCCAGTGGACTCCCCGATTCGTCCATAGAGAACTGGCTCACTATAGCAGCAGATATGGCAGTGGCTAATGCATAAGCTTCCAAATCATCGGGATGAGTCAAAAGACGTGCCGTCAGAGCCTCTGCATCGACCACCGGCCATATACCGTATCCGCGTGCCGAATAGATATCTAAATATTGCGATAGGCAAGCAATCGATATCCTCTGAGGCTCGTGAGGGGTGGCGGAGAGGGTTGGACTCAAGATATCCGGCCAGGCTTTGGGTTCACCATCGGCATCGCTCATCAAAGAGATGGGATCAAGGTAGGTTAGCTCGGTAGATACTGGGCTTCCAGCGTCAAAGCTCGTCTCGCTGTTGCTTCTTGACCCCTCATCATGGGTGCCCTTGCTGCGTTCCTGCAGTCTCCTGATTGCGGCTTCCGTGGTCCGTCGTGGTCCTTTTGGTCCGCTTTTTCCATGCGTTTTCAAGTAGGTGCAGTCCCAGCTAGCGGCTTCGCATCTTGAACATGGCTGGTTGCCATCACATCGCACTTTCCCTAGACGAAGGAAACGTAATGTCAGTCGTGTCACGAGCGTTGACATGCACCTAACACTCACTGACAGAACAAGGGTCACACGCTCGTCGCGTTCCTTTCCGTGGGGCCATGGCCATTCTGGGGCCAAGGTACTAGCCCGTTTAGATAGACAGCCTTTGCGAGACACGGGAAATCGTCATCTCAACATGACACGGATGGATCGGGATCATGCACCAGACTGGTGGCGTCTTTGTGTGAAGGTGGACTGGAATGTATTTCGGGAGAAAACGATGACTGAACGAAACACAGAGATATAGAGTCCATACAGAACGATGTCGTAGGGGAATGGATGCGGCTGATGCTGGAAACAAAAGGTGGAGATGCGGCTGCAGGTCGGTTGATCCTGCCCACTTGAGGGGGCGACATGAACCAATCAGGTCTAAGTGCCGCCGTTGACCGCTGTGGTGCCCGGAGCCAGCTAATCGTTCCGACAAACAGGCCGAGAAACTATCTTCTAGAAGCCCCATGGAAGGAAACACTCGCCGACCGTGCATGGAAAAGATAAGCGAACTGTTATATGATTCGATTACTGGCCTTCTAGAAGCTTACCGAGCGCGTCGTAGTGTAGTTCCTTTTGAGCATGGCGCTGGACACGGGCCTGCGATGATGAAAATTTTGGTGTTGAGGGTGCAATGCAATGCGCTGTCCCAGCAGATCGACCAGGAATATTCTAAATCGCGCGTCCGCATCCGGCAAAGGTGGTGATTGTTCCCCTGCTATAAGCCGCAGCATCGCGGCCATGATGCGGCTACGCCCGGTGTTGTGAGTAGAGGCTGTGTGTGAGGCTGACTTGGTGATGGAATGCGCGTACGTGACGTAACCTTGCAATGCGCCATTTCTTAGCGCGCCCGACAGCGGGCGCATCAGCCCTTGGGATCGCGCGCCGAGGTCGAAGACGCGAACTATCCTCGTGCGACTGCGGCCGACTATTGTACAAGACAGCGGCACATCCCATAGCGATCTTGGAAGTCTTCTAACGCTGGTTATTGAGACCGTGCTCTGTTCCATGGAATCGTTGGTGTATCGAGGCTCCAGGCTCTGGAAGAAACACGTGGGTATGGATGTAGCAGTGTTAGGCTGCCCCGCTGATGATGGAGGCTCTAGGCCCGCAAAAGACATGGTGGTAATTGTTAGCAGTGAAGTCGAGAGGATTAGGAACGACAGGAGAGATGCAGCTCGTCACCTCGAGCCACCTCAAACGGTTATACAGAAAGCCTAGACCACTGGTGGCGCACCCTGCTCACGCGCTGCGACGTCAAATACGCCACACTACACCACGAAGGCTGGGATCATGCCAAATCTCATTGGAACCGGCGTTGGAGGCCATCGCATTATTGTCGGCCAACTGGACACGGCAGATTAAACAACAAGGAGTAGTGGTTCAAGACGTGACTCGTCCAGAGTCCTCTTCTGGATGAAATTGCTAGCATCGTTGCCCTGGGGTGAATTGCTTTTCCGTTAAGACAAGACGTTGCATCACGTGCGCGTGATGGACCTACGACGATTACTTTGCCATACCCACGTGGCAAAGTCTGCAATGATGCGCAGCAGCGTGCGGAATTTCCGCAAGAGCGACGTAGCGCTCATGGTCTAACATGGCTGCGTTCTTAGCCAAAGTGGGCCACAAGTGTTGTGCCAAAGAGATCTGGAGCGTGCATAGTGATGTAGTTTGCTGGTGCGACTGACTTCTTCGGACTTGCACCCGGTGTAGATTTCCAAGGCAGAAGTAGTGCCGTCTTAACTGCCATGCTGCCTTGGTATTCTATGAGATCATACGTTCTTCGCCTCGATGAAACCGCGACGCGACAGAATTCAGCACTGGATGCTACAGCGACGTCATATATGCCTGGCATCCGAGCCGCGAAGGACAGTACGTCCGTTTCATATGGTAAAATGTCTAGCTCGCATGTGGGCGACTTATCAGAAGTGCTGGCAATACGAAAATCCGGGGAAGATAGATTGCATTCCTCGCTAAACGCCGCGACGCAATTTAGGCATATGAGCGCTATCGCAACATCCACGGTTGGACGTTCACATTGGCCCAGATCGTAACATTACGATATCGCTGCTGCGAAACGCAAAGCTTAACGTGATGGTTGGTGGACGCAGAGATGCGTGGATTGGGCGAACCTTGAGCAGTTCGCGGTCGATCAGATAGTTCCAGCTAATTCTGGATTGCGCTGCAGGAGACGTGGATGAGCTTCTCACTCTACAGCGATGTCAGTGGCGCCGTAGATACGAGGCTGCTGTCTATATAAACAGTTGTTTCGTGATAGCCAAAGCGATATCACTACCCAACAAGCTGTCAACTTACTTGCTCACTCACCCCCACAAATCGTGAGACTCAATTCCAACACCTCCCTTGATCAAAACTGGATCATCTGTCATCAAACGTTAAGATGAAGGTCCTTGTACTCTTCGCCGCGATCGCTTCCATCGCT